CTCACGAACTCTCTGATGATCATCGTTTCGAATGTGTGAACAGATTACACATAGGATTATCACATTTGATTTGCATGATAACTATATGAGGGAGTGATTGACATTACTTTTTATCTTTTTATTTTGTCATACATAAAAATATTAAAAATTTCCATTTATTCTTTGAATGTTTTGTGCACTGTATTTGAAAAGAGATGACCACTTAAAATGTATATGTCAATTATAAATTTGCCCCTGAAGAAGAAAGGTCCACCTTTCGAAAGCACTTGGGTTATAGGGTTTTTATCATCTTATATCAAGACTTCTTGAACATATGTGTTTTTCTGACATCATGAATGGAACCTTTAATTGACATTAGAAACATCTAAATCTTAAGCATATTACAACTGTATGTAAATGCTAAAATTTTGAAAGTAAACAGTAAACCTCTCATGACAACTTCTTGATTCAATCATGTTATTAAGGATTGTATTTAATGAAATTTCTTAAGGTTTCTACCTCTTCATGAAAAATAAAAACAGAATGAAATCTCTTTAGTATTAAACTGTTTTAAGATATGATCATAAACAAATCACAATCACTGTTACAGCCATGACTCAATTGCAATGCCTCTTTTTTAGCTAAGTGATCACTCAAATTTCTCCTTAAAAAAAATGGAAGGAATCACTCAATCAGTAAAAGTTACAATTTCACTATGTATTGTTACGCCTCTGGTCCTTTCTTAATTTCCCATATAATTTCTTTCGAATGAAACTTTAGCGATACAAGTCCTTTCTTAAATAAAACTAGTTTATTCTTTCTCAATTCAACTTTGTAATACACTAAATTGTCTCCTGGTACAAAGCTGACTTCAGTAGATCTCTTATCATAACATAGCTTCATCGAATCATCAGACGTTTTCAAGTTTGAACGCACTTCATGGTGAATATCATCCATTTTTTCCAATAACACTTTCACAAACTCTGACACATTTACAGGGAACTCTTTGTAAGGTGGGCGTCCTGTTAACAGATCCACTGGCAACCGAAGTTCCCGACCAAAGATCAACTTTGCTGGAGAGTAACCAGTGGTTTCATGCTCTACTGTTCTATAGGCCATCAACAGTGGAGGGAGTAAGATATCCCAGTCATCTTAGCGGCTATTACAAAAC